TATATATATATATATATATATATATTTCCACGTCTGAATCCATTCGGTGTGCCAAACAAATCATGGTACAATAATCTTTATGAAAAAAACTTTCCATGATTTGCATATGTGCCGAATATTGCCAGGTTGCCTAGGCCAAGGCAGGTGAATTTTCTTGAGGAATCCACAACCAGAGCCTTCGGCTAGCGAGAGCCTGACCCACAAGACAGCGAGGCGGTGTGTGAAATCCGCAATCCATTGGGAGCCGGTGTCTAGTTCATGGGACCATACGCCCCTTGGACAGGGTCAGACGTCCAAGGTGCCTAATACACGTCAATGCCCAACCGAACCGGTTACCTCACAACTTGGAAAGTGTGGGTGTGGTTCGTACGCCATTTCTTTGTTTGGAATCAGGGTTTTTGGCCAACTCCCCAAGGAGAACGAATGATTCACCAACCCGGTTATAGCCCCGGATGTCGGTTTTTCGTCCTCTCACTTTGGTGGGAAAACACCTCCGATGAACGAGAACGCAGCGAGTTGGGCTTCCTTAACAGAGGCCGTTTGAGATGCTTGCTCGTATGGGAGCATTTGACGAGGTGCAAGGGAGGGGTGACCAGCCGCAGTCCTAGACACCCATCCCCCCCCCACTATATTGAGGGCTTCCGAGGCGCCCACACTTATGTCTTGTGGAGATATAACAATTATAGTTGCCGTGCTGACATGTGCTTTGAGTTCAAATTTTGCTAATTTTCGCATCCGAGGAAGATCTGTTACTCTTTATTCAACGATTACGCCTACTTGAAATTGCTATTCTCCGATAAATATAAAAGTGAGTAATGGAGGATTTGGTTTAATTTCAAATGGGAAATCGTCGTGTAGATAGGAAATGAAGCGTGAACTGAAAATCTCGGAAGCACTGGACAGCTGTTTCGATCCCCTGTTGGGTCGATGGATTCGCACTGCTGATGAGACCCAACCAGGTCGAAACAGCTGTCCCGTGCTTCCGAGATTTTCAGTTCACGCTTCATTTCCTATATACAAGACGAATTTCCATTTGAAATATAAAAGTAACAAATCAGACGTTACGCAGGACGTGGACAGATTTGTGCAGTCTGGTCTGCTCACGAAGCATGTCCGACGTTTGCCTGACCGTATGAGGTGTCCTGGATATTTTAATGCATCGCTAATTGGCGCGTAATATCGGTTGTATTTTCACCATTGCATAGTCCCTCGCATAGTATAAATCATAAGAAAACCTCCCAACTCGGCCGGGGTTTTGAGAAACTATCTTGTGGCACATTAAGCGAAACATCGTGCGAACCTTAGCAGGTACTGTGTACACTTAGGATTTCTCTTGATGCATGGATGTACAGGTAACTAACTGGTTTAACAACGTTTAGAATAAATTAGAACATAAAGGGCGGTCAATCCACTGAGTGAGGGCTGCGTTTGATTCACGGGGTGCAAGTTCCTCCAGTGCCTTGAATGTCGTCAAATGTGTACACCTGTTGATAAAATGAGCAGCTTAATCGATTGTGATATTAGTTTTGTATCATAATCTATTTATACTTCATTTGAAAGCTGATTATTCAAATAGAACAAGGAGTGGCGAACAAGCTCGTTTTCAGTGATTCGTAGTCATGCCAAATAC